AGAGATGTTTTTATTTATAAAGAAACTTTTAAAAATTAAATAAAATAGTTAATTTTAAACGAACCGAATTGAAATGGAATTTTAGACATTTTTCGTATCACCAGAAAACCACATTTCCAGGTCTACTGAATATTCCCACCAATAAAAGTTGCAAAATTTATAGCAAGTTCCGTTTCTTTTAACAAACTATTGACATTAGGATAGTCAAGTGGCAAACATCCTAAACAATACATAGTTATACAACAGTTTAAAGTGAAGAAAAGTTCACAGACCTTTCAAATTTCCTAAGATGTTATAAATTAAAGACATTTGTGGCTTAACGATAAATAGTATATATCTAATACAATGGTTTGTTCAAAACAGCTCGAGTGAATGCAAATTATCAGCTAATCATTTATAATATCTAAAACTTAAAAACTAAATTTTAACTTTGTGCATTTACCATCGATCCTTCGTTTTGGTAAATATGAATATGGCTGATATATTTCCACCATTCGCTTTCTAAGTGTTTTCCCTGACTAATAATAATATCCCAATGAGGACCTTCTCCAAGAAGAGGCAGAAGAATTGCGAAGCCCAAAACGAAGAATATCGGAAGTGTATATCTGCAACACGAACAAAATATAATACTGGAAGCAGTGACAGGAAGAGTTAAATATTTTACCTGATAACTCGCTTGACTAAAAACATAATATAGTATTTCGCAGAGTTTCGTCCAGTTTTTTGTCTCAGATACATTACCATAAATCCGCTAGACAAAAAATATTATTTAGTATTAGTTTTAAAATGAAAAGTTTTTTTCCACAATGTATAAATGTTACTATTATTATAATGATAGTAAATGTAAATATTCTTCGAAAATTGTATATATGTAACATTTAAATTTTAATGATCTTACCTGTAGAAAAAAAATGATTCTATCATAGTGACGGCTTGGAGAATAATTTCGAATAAAAGAAGATACACATGCTTGAAGATATTGGAATATTTATCTTTAAAATATAATTATTGTTATTCTTTTAATACTAGATAAATATAAAAAATCTTTTATATAAAATATGAGTTTTATTAATTGGAATATAATATGTATTAACTAGCTGTACTCGCGGCTTCATCCGTGCAGATTTTGCAATTTGATAGAAATATAGTGGTACCTCAGGACAGGAACGTCCCAGCATACGAATTTTTCAGGATACGACATGAAATTCGAACATATTTTTTGCCCCACGATACGAACAAAAACTCACCATACGTTAACTCATGTTACGTTGGTTCGCGGCGCCATTTTTTATTCACTTCTGTTCGTTGGTCTCAGTCGGCGTGTTTGCTTCGTCTTGGAAGGATCTCGCTCGATAAAGAAAATCTTCAGGTATTATCAGAAAGTGACTGATTTTATTGAAAAGAAACATCCCGAAAAGGTTCACACTGGCCATATTGCTGATCGGAGTAATGACATTTGCCTAAGTCATTTTAGAAACATTTTAAAAAGTAGGCAAAGCCAAACCTCTTTGGATAGATATTTTACCAAGCGACCTCTATCTAGTGAAAGTGCTGGTAGAAGTGAAGGAAAGAAAGCAACAAGCAGTGGATAAAAATTTAAAAAAAATAATAAATAAAACAACACTAATTTTTTAAAAATCTTTTCTAAGTTATTTTTAAGTTGTTGTTACATTATGTTATGTTATTTAGTATCATTTCCCTTCTCCCTCTCTTCCGCCACCAGTTTACACCTCCACCGTCGTCTATCCTCAAAGGTAAAGTGCAAATAAAACTACATTTTTTTAATCAATTATTATTCTATTATGGTTATTTATACATTTACAACTACAAAACGCATTTTTCAGTGTTTTCCTTACTATAGTTATCTTTTTTTTAATGTACTACTTAGCTTTAATTTGAGTGTGTTTTTCGTGTTAGAACAAATTATTTGGTTTTACATGTAATCGTATGGGGAAAAATGATTCACCTTATGACATTTTCATCATACGATCTCAGTGTCGGAACGGATTAATTTCGTATTCTGAGGTACCACTGTAACTCTTTCTCGAAAATCTATAAATATTTATAATCTCATGTTCGTAACACAATAAAAAATATGATTAAACTAGAAATTCGTACATTATCATAGTTAACAGGAAAAATGTATCGTATTATAAATCTCATTTCATAATACGATACACTACCTCATAAAAATGTAGTTGAAAGTGATAATATAATTACATTTTTCATGTTAACTATGATAATGTACGAATTGAACAATAGAGCAATTAAAATTGTGTTATTGTGGTATTTCTTCTGCATACATTGTGGCAAAAAGTTTTATAAATATTAAATATTATATCTTACAGTATAAGAAAGAATACCTCCTATTGTGGGGAAAAACAATGCTATCACGAATACATGCCCCAACACCACAGTATTTACTAGAAGAAATTTTACACCGCACATCGACTTCGTACTTTCGTCAAGATTCGTCGAATATAATTTATATAGAGATTTATAAGGAGAAGCTCCAAGAATATACTCAAAAACTTTACCTAAAAATTACAAACATTAATAAATTATTATTTAGGTGAAGTTAACTGATAAAAGATATATTTATTTTAAAATTGTGTTTTGAAGTATTCAAAAATAATGGCATTCAAGATTATTTTTCTTAACGTTAGAATAATAATAGATAAATTCTCATCATTAATTAGGTTAGAAGTATGTTTTGATAATCTTAAAGACTTACCTTTACTCGCCTTGAAAGGAATAATATGAAGTCTCATTAATATCTCTGTTAACGTTGCCAATCCTACCCATGCAATAAATATTCCGAGAACAATTCTAAATTAAGGCAATTAACATTTTACATCAATTTACTTGAATATAATTTATATCATTTAACAATCAATAAATTAAGTAACTATTATTGTATTTACTGTATATCTATTTGAATGTAAGAATATAAATATCATTTCTGTGTACATAATCACTTAAGAGCTATATTATGTTATTTATAAATGTCTTAAATACTTGCTTAACGAAGACTTTTCACTTGTGAAGTCCGGACTTTAGTTGAGTTTATAGGTCGTAGGAGACTGTAGTGAGACGTAGCCCATATAAGAAAATAAAAAAGGAAAAAGAGAAGGGTGTGTAGTAGAAGAGGAGAGGGATGGAGTAAAGAATGAAAGTTGAATTCTTAGAAGGATGAGGAAAGGTAGGATTTCATAATTGACCCGCATCGCAATGATTAAAAATAATCGTGACACAAATATACAGTACAAAGTGCCATTTTGGCTGATGGACAGTTATATATACAAAGATCACATTGTTGATCTATATATAACAGCGCTGTCCAACTGGCGGCCCGCGGGCCATATACGGCCCGCAAAATAATTTTTACGGCCCGCGAGTACATTTTAAATTTATGTTACTGAATTATTATTATTAATACTTTATTAAAATTATTTTACTACCGTGTTTACCCGAAAATAAGACAGTGTCTTATATTAATTTTTGCTCTGAAAAATGCGCTAGGTCTTATTTTTTCCAGGAAGAAGAATTCACATTTATTATTGAACAAAAAAATTCCCAAGNACGACAGCCAGAAATGTATTAACATTAAATAATACTAGAAAATCTATTATCGCAATATTAGAACAATTTTACACCAACGAGAAAACTTTCAAATATACCATTGAAGAGATTTTATCTTTAATCTTCGACTTCCCAGGAAATACAACACCTTATGCAGAATAAAGAAGTAGAATCGTATAATTTAACGAAACAATTTCTCCTACTAACGAATATATTAGTATACTGCTCTTACAGAAATTACTGTAATTTTTTTAATTGTGTTATGTATAAAGTTTAATGCGACAGATGTTTCGTGAGGTCTTGTAAATATATTTTACGGTATCGTACCATGTAGTTTCAAGTCGAGTGAAAGCAGATACACTTGAAAGAACACACTGAGAATTATCATCTAATTTATTCGGCATTCATATAAAATCTATAAAAGAATATACATTACCCAACAATAATGTTATAAAAGTCAAATCGTAAAAACAGTACATTTGCATAGCCGGTTGCAAACAGAAAACAAAAATAGCTACAAAAGTCTTTGAAAAATCTTAGTGGTGCAGTAAAGCCCAACGCAGCTGAAAAATAATGATTTGTTTAAAAGGAAATCGAAAGACGTGCTAAAATAACACTAAAGGATAGACAATTAAACAGTATTGACCAACTTCTCACAGAAGGTTTAAAAGATGTGTGACGTCGATAATTACACAGTGAAAAAAGGCGTTATAGAAAGTGAAAAAAATCCTATTAAATTTTTCCGAACTGACCTTGTTTGATTCGGAAAATCTGTTTTTGAACCATTCAAGGTAAAGATTAGATAAAATTTTTCCTTAAAAGAGAAAAGAAAATAAGACAAAACTGCACGCATTTACAATGTGCTGGAAGAGAATGTGGAAGGAATTTTAAAGTAAATAATTTTTCAATCATCAGGATTAGCAAGACAAACCAAATTCATTCTTAACACTATAGATAAACGAAAAACCAACACGATAGGACATCTATAAAAATATTCAGGTCGAATAAAAGTATTGTTTGACTGAATGATAGAAAAACAAAAAGTTAGAGGTCAACCTAAAATGAAATATTGGGTTGTAGTAAAAAAGAAGAAAAGAAAAAGCAGAAGCACTCGATTATTTAAAACAGAATATTTAAAACACAGAAATCAAGACAAACGATGCGCATTGAAATAAAAAATTAATTTCAGAATAAAATAGATTCGGTTGGCTATTTTCTTTGTTAAACTTATATTTTTCGTAACATTATTAGTTAAAATGTTTTTAGACAAATTATTATCGTGTTTTACGAAAAGTTTACGATTTATTCATATTATATATCGCATCGTCAATTTGCCAAATTTTTCGGCAATTTAAAGTTAGTTTCATACTTCAGAGGTTCTTAATTTCATTCAATCAGTTTAATAAAAATATACTTACAACGATATCAATTGTCCGTTCCTGTATTTAATACGTTCATCTTTGATTTTGCAATATCCGACATTAAAGTCTACCGCTGTCCCGAATACTAAAAAAATAAAATAAAGAACGTAATCAAACATTTAAACAATTACATAAATAATTTTTTCAAAATAACGGTTTAATTTATCGCTTATCTTACATGCAATTTATCAGATAAAATTACATTCAAATGTCTGAAGGATATAGTTTGAAATATTGTGAAGTCAAAATTAACAAAGAGAGGGAAAAGTATGTTAAGTAAAGAAACTCGATCTTCTAATGTGGTTCATTCCTGCAGTGGGAGGAATTTCATTTGGAACTTTTTTCCTTTAAACACATGTGGAACATTTTTTACAAATTATTAACAGAATCTGCCATTGATGGGCACTCCATGCATTACAGTTACTATTTCCTTATAAAAATAGCATAAAAACGATCTAGATCTTGCTAATCCGAACTACTTATCGTAAAGAGTTTACGGATTAGTGAGTGGTAATTTTAAAAAATTTATATAATAAATTACATATTTTATCGACGTTATTTATACATACTATATATACCGGTAAGTATGTAATAATTTTACAAAGTTATTATGCTTTTGTAGAATGATTTTGTGTTGTTTTGGCTGAATATAATAGACAGAATTGTTTCAGTTCGAACAGACAATTGATTAAGTCATGTTCGGATTTACAAGAGTGATTCATATAATTACAAAATATCAAACGACTTACTCCAATTCCCAACGTGTTGTAAGTCTTTATTACTACATGTACTCGGAATGCAAACATCCAAACGTATTTCCATCTTTGTATCGACTAAAGCTGTTTTCAATGTATCTTTAAACTTTATTGGTTTCTAAAAAATTCATTAATTCCTTGTATAAATAAATTTAACTGAGAAATTACACTAAACTGTATTAATTTATCGCAAAATTTTTCTTTAAAGTTTAATACTTACAATAAACTCTTTGGCAAGTTTAATCAATGAATTATTTTCCAACTTATAGATCGACTTTGCAATACGTTTCAGTGATTCTTGCATTCCAATTGTCAGGGCACAGTATTTTCCTCGAACCTGTTCTTTTACTTTATCGGTAATTTCGTTCTTATTTTGAGGAATTTTTATGTCCAAACACTGATCATAATCTCCCGATATCCATAGTGTTATTCNCCATCACCAACCTTCTTGGCCCCCGAAATGTTTGGTGAAGAAAATATGGCCCGCGGGCTATGATAAGTTGGACAGCGCTGATATATAAGAATACATCACAGACAGACAGACAGACAAAATAAACTTTATTAAGCCCGACACTGCTAGGCACAGTCGGGATGAATATATATAGGATGTACAGTACATAGAAGTGACATGCTGAGAAGGAAAACCGACAGTGAGCGTAAAAGAAAAGAAAACAAAATACAGTACACATAAATATAAAATCATGACGTCTTGAGTCATGTGGTAAATCACTAAACTGAAGACATTGCAGGTTGCGTGAAGGTTAGTCATAACAAAAAAAGCTCGCATATGTACAGTATGAGAGGAAACGGTTCCTGCACAACGCTAGTGCAACATAGACACACAATGAAAGTACATTGATGGAGGCCTGAACAAAACAAATGGAACTAAGCATGGAGACGGACGCCAAGGCGAAAATGGTGTACAGACCTTGTACAGTAACAGACAAAGAGTGAATGCACAGTACAATAGGCATAAAAATATTATAAGATCTTCAGCAGTACAAAGATACGAAAAATGGAGAAAATCCTTTATCAATGTATTAATGTTGTGTTAAACTAAAGCTTGATCATTCTCTGAAAAAGGTAAAAGTATTTTTTACTCGACACCAAAATTTCCAGCTTACACGGCCAATTGAGATTATTTTCTTCAACATAAAGTTTGAGCTCGTTCCTTATGTCCTCCAGCAATGGGCAAGACAAAACATAATGCTTTACCCCATCACGCACGTCGCAGTTCGGACAGCAGTCAGTGTCGCTGTGTAGAAACAAATGTAAGTAGGCATTGAATTTGCCATGTTCTGAAAGCAGCTATGACATTTGGTGTTGAGGGTGGATCCATTTCCAGCTGAGGCGTCTTGCTACGTATGGGAACAACTGCCAGGAAATGTGCTGCTATGAGATACGCTCCCATCCTTGTTGTTACGCTACAATTGTATGCTGCCAGAGAAGCAGCTTTAACCTAGAGACCAGTAAATGGCTGTATCATATCATTACATGTAGGGTATTAGATATTATCGCGTGTTAATATCATAAGCAAATTATGGCAATCTTTACAAGTCCATTTAAGCAATGCTCTTGAACATTTGCGTACATTTTGTGACTAGATCAAAGAATATCGACAAACTGGATTCGTAAAATGCTTGTTTGACGCTCGTCAGTTTATTGAAAATAGCAATTATGAACTGCTAAAAGACTTTAAAAACGAAAGGGTAGCCGAAAAGAAAAGGATGTTCGATGATGAAGGCAGCGATCAACCTATACAGTCTTTCAAAAGCAGGTATGAAACAGATTTTTTTTAACACCACGATTGATTCTATAATAAGCAATATTGATTCGGGATTTATGTCTTTAAATCAACACTTTGAAAATTTTGGTTTTCTCTATGATGTAAGCGAGTTAAAAAATGTTCCAAAAGAGCAAATATTAAAAAACTGTCAAGATTTATATTCAGTCCTGCGAATGAGTGAGAGCAGTGACTTACAACCTTACGAATTATATGAAGAATTACAAACAATGATCCCAAATTTACCCAACTTCATTATAGATGTGTAACAGCTGCTCCATTACATAACAGAAAATAACTTGAAAGAAATTTTTCCAAATATTTACATTGCCGTTCGAATTTTCTTAACAATACCAGTAAGTACTGCCTATGCTGAAAAGAGCTTCTCAATATTAAAACTAATAAAAAATTTTTTAAGAAATACAATAGGTCAGGAAAGACTTTCCGCTTTTGCAGTTTTATCTACTGAAGCAGATATAGCATCTAAGCTGAATTACGATGCAATTATTAAGGAGTTCAGTAAAGCTAAAAGCAGGAAATTTCTGTTTCTTTAATTTTATTTTCTTTTTAATTTTTCTTTAATGTTAGTTAAAGACTATAGTTTGCATTTTTAGGAATCAAAGTTTGACAGTTTCAACTGCTTTTTATTTTTTAAAATCCGTCTTCTTGCGCCTCCAGAAGGCCTCGCAAAATGTACGTTGCCCACATCAAATTTAGGTCTTTCCCATCCGCTGCGACGAATCGACGAGTTATTGGCTAGTAGTAAACTTTTACCGGCAGTTGAAGAACAAACAGCAAGACGAATCCAGAGTTAATTAACCGTTTTTTTCCGACAGCGACCGTTATTATTTAAAAATGGAAAGACGGAAATCGTGTTTTTACACGTCTTAAATGAAGTTAAGACTATTTACAAAAATATAAAATTTTTGAGTCTATCTTAATCTTTTTTTACACCACCCCAGAAGTAACAGTCAACATGGGTTTTTTCTTTTTGAAGAATATACTTCTTAAAAACAAAGGTAAATAAACAGTAAAAGACAATTCACAATGTTAAAAACGATCAAGTGTCAGCCTTCTGTTTTAGGATCTGACACTTTACATTAAAAACATAAAGAATTCTTCTCACCACATTGTTCCTTATCCAAATTTTATATTTTTGTAAATAGTCTTAACTTCATTTAAGAAGAAATATAAAAATCCTGAGTAATTACAGAAATTGTATCCATATGTGTTTTTACACGATTCTACCCCTTCAGCCACACTTCTCGGCAAATGTACAGAGTACAGTTGTTTGAAGCTCCGGACAGGGTCCGAATCGCTATCAAAATTTGTCTCACAGAAGTTCTAGATCTAAATCTCCAAAAATCATTAAACAATTCCCGTTTAAAGTTACGCAATAATGGGAACAGACAAACATTTAAATCCTGTCGGTATCGGAATTTAGTGTCGAATTAAACATTGACATCTACTTTTCCCAGGTTATGAGCTGATTCTGAATTTCCTCTAAAAACTGGTACAAAACCAATCAGAAAAACCAACGAGGGATGACTAACGAGGAAAAACATGTCAAAAGGACACAAATTGCAATTTGATGTCTCAGTTCTGTCTTTGCAGATTCTCCTTCCGCAATTCCTATTGAACTATTATCAAAAGCTTCTGTCTCTTGTGCGTAACTGTCCTCGAAAGTCTCATCGATTTATTACATATCTCTCATAACTCGTTCAGGAGATTATTCCGTACGTGTGTCGTCTTCTCTTTTGGAACATTCCAATCGATCCGTTGTGTCCAGAAATGGTCTACTCAGTTTTTCTCGATAAACTTATATTCTACAGAATAATAAATCAGGATACGAAACGCAATTATCCGCTCTACATGGAAAGGCGTAGGAAAACTCGCTATTTTTTCGGCTCGAGACCCAGATATCGATGTTGCCCTTGACATTGGACAAAGAAGGATACAACTTCCCTGTCGTAAACAAGTCACTCGTCAACCTCTGGACAATTACAACTAAAGTGGATTGTACTGTACTTTTTGACTTAACTGTAAACCTGAAGCAGATACTGACTGTTTTCCATTTTTAGTCATTCTGGTCAGTCAATAACAAATAACATTGATACAAGATTGCTGTAGTACTCACACAATTAATGTTTTGCTAAATGTTTATTTCTAAACGTGTTTTTTGTGCAATTTTCAAGCAGGGCCGTGCCGTGCTATGATGGAGAAAGGGGGCCGCATCAGGCGGCACTGTAAGGGGGCAGCATAAGCAAATATATCAAAATATTATTTGAACCATTAAATAATTAAATATTTTTACGCAACGCTTTTCTATATTGATCTACGTTATTCTGATATTGATGTATACGATTTATGATTTATCGCATGTTTCCTTCTAAGTGCTTTCGGTACCCATTGATTTCGGTTTATGGTGCAGGTGCATTGCTGGCGAGCGCTCGTCGAAAGGCTTTTCACGTGACAGCCCAAAGCTATTGTTTTTGTATGTAATATACCGCACGACCGCTCCTAAAAGATGAGGTGCAATTATCCTAAAATACAATTTTACGTGTAACGTGTTGATAGTTTTGCTTTGAGCTGAAATTACTGAAAACATTTGATTTTAACGTTAGTTTGTCTGGAGAAGTAGCAAGTGGCTGTGCTGTGTTTAAATCAGTAAATTAGATATATATCTGTATTAGTAAAATATTTTAGCATTTATACTAGTTCATTTTTTGTGTTTAAAAGGAGATCAGATAAGAGAATTACTGGTTTTATACAGCAATTGTAGTTACTTATCACCATTAAAAAGGGTTATGTTGTGACAATAGGGATTGAATTAAAAAGGAGCATTTGCATGGACTGGTTATATATCAGGTGCGGAACGTGTGCTTTTGTGTGATATATAGAAAGTTATTTAAGTAATATTGGACTAGTTTTACGTTCTGTGTGTGATAGAGTTGCTTAGGAAGTATTTGCATTTACCTACTTTTGCGTTCGTTAATTTTTGCTCTATTTTTAATAAATTCATATGCCTTGAAGTATAGACAAAACAATGACAATTTAAGGAAATGCATATGTCAAAATGGCTGCTAGCTGTCAATTTGAGAGATATTCGTTATCTATTTACTAGAAGGTGAGCCCGGCGTTGCTCAAGCAAAAGGTAACGATTGCGAAGATTAAGATTATTAGCTTATTGCGGATCTTGTCCGTTTTCAACGGCTGCAAGAATTACGTCTCCATCTTCTGAGATTAATTAGAGAATATTTACATGGTTTAAAATATGTTGGATTTTCTGCAAAAATGCAAAAAACCGCATCTAACATAGTACAGTAAAGCCGAGTTCTTTTAAGATAATCTTTAATCCTCTTCCTCTTCCCCCCGGGGACAATTTCGAAAAAACCCTTCTTAGTGTACGTTCTCATGACGTACCTAACTGTGTATCAAATTTCATCATTCAACACTTAACCGTTTGGGCTCTGCGCTTATTATTATCATT